GAGAAGGAGACTGACACCCTGATCAACGGCATCCAAGAAGCAAAGAAGGCTATGTCAGAGCTGAAGAGCAGAGGAGTCACCAGACTCTTGGATCTCAATGTGGCCAATCGACGTCGCATCGAAGACTTAGAGTCGGAAGAGGAGGAGATCGAACAAGAAATGGAATAAGAAGAGGAAGACTTGCAGCCTCCTGTGCAAAAGACGCCGACTTGAAGCACCAATTGGTTCACCACAAGCTGCAGCACCTGCGCTCAACGACGCCACTCAGCCTGCACCAAATGATGAACCAATACAGTCCGAACCGGATTTGGAGTACGCACCTACATCCCCTGCACACAGTCAGCAAGGGGTTGAACCAGAGCCACAGGCTCCACCAACCACAACTCCGGCGCCACTTGCATTACCACTTGAGGCACTACCAGCAGTTCCAGAGAACCAACCGGACACTCTGAACGAACCGTCCAGAGAACCCAGTCCGCCTCACTCAAGGGCCAGCCAGAACCATCCAGCGTCCCAGCTGGACCCAGACACAGAGGCCCTGTACCAGCCAGCTCAACCTGGTGAGCGTTTTGAGCTGATGAGACGACGATATGACCAACAAGAGACCATCTCATTCGGCAATCGACGCTATCGTGGCATCCCTCAGACATCACAACCAGAAACAACCAGCACCTCCAACCACCGAGCCGGGCCCTATGACAAGCCACCCACATCGGGCATTGACGATGTCATTGGACACAGTTTTGAGGTCGATGCAGTTGACCTTTCGTTCCTTCCGCCCGGATGGCACATGGAAGATGGTTTCATCACCATGGACCGCAGTCCTCACGACTACTACTGGGAGGTGAAAGCAGGTTGTTTGGTTCGCCACCACGTCGTGCCTCGACGAACCAAGTTCGGCCTTCAACAGCTCAACAAAAGAGAGCTCCAACACCTTCCAGTCTCCCTGCAAAAGCTGGACTCCATCCGCATCACTGTGCGCAAGACAGGCCAAGAGCTCAAACAGGAATCTGATGTTTGGCAAAATGGAGCTGGTACCCCAACCAGAAAAGCATGGACTGGTGTCACAATCTTCCAGATCAACGGAGACACTCGTAAGGAGATGGGCATGACTACCCATGACACCCAGTCAGCTAAGCAGTTTGGCCGAAAGCAAAAGGCTATGGCCAACAAGAAGATGCAGAAAAACAAAGGCGAAATCCGGGAGCGTGAACTGTCCCTGGAACATCGCCTGCTTTTCCAACAGGCCAAGCAAAAGGAGCTGTCTTCTTTTTTTGAAAACGGAGTGTGGAGCTTTCAGACCACCAAGGAAGCCACACCCGAAAGGACACTCACAAGCAGAATGCTGCTCAAATGGAGCAAGAATGCCGACGGCAGTCCCCGAGCAAAAGCTCGTCTGGTGGTGAGGGGATACGCTGACGTTGATGCATTGGCAGGTTCACTCGAAACCTCCTCACCTGCATCCACTCGCCTCGGCAGAAATTTGTTTTTGAGTTTGAGCAGCTGCCTCGGTTGGACTGGATGGTCAGCCGATGTTTCAACTGCCTTTTTGCAAGGCCTTCCACAAGAACGGAAGTTATGGGTGAAGTTGCCGTCCGATGCACTGGCATTGTTGGGCGCAGACTCCAACTCCACAAACCAGTGTACGGGCAACTAAACGCACCTCGTCGATGGTTTTTGGAAGCCAGCTCACGCCTTAAGCAGCTCGGCTGGGAACAGCACTCCCTTGACCCCTGTTTTTGGAGATTGTTTGAGCCGCAAGACGGTGATGCCTCCACACCAAAGTTGGTGGGACTTCTTTGTTTACATGTCGATGACATGTTGGGTGGCGGTGACAAAAACTCAGCTGTCTACTGCCGCGTGGAGACCGAAATCAAGAAGATGTTCAATTTCCGCACCTGGCAGCAAGATGAGTCTTTTGAATACTGTGGTGCGGACATGTCTCGGTCGACGGACGGCACTTGGACTGTGAGCCACCAGAAGTTCTTTGGAAAGGTCAAGCCCTTGACCATTGAGAAAGGCCGCCAAACTCACTCACCAATGACCCCAAAAGAGCAGAGCTTGCTCAGAGGTCTCTTGGGCAGCCTCCAATGGCCAGCAGTTCAGTCGAGCTCACACCTTTTGGCCAGTACCTCAATCTTTTCAGGCGAACTGAGCACCGGTCTGGCAGCACCACTTTTTGAAGCAAACAAGCTCTTAAAATTTGCCAAGGACAACAGCGATGTGACCCTGCGCTATCCACCCCTTGGCGCAATCCAAGACCTCCGACTCAGCTGCATGTTCGACGCAGCCCACGGAGTCAGACATGATGGTAGCAGCCAAGGCGGTTTCATCTGTCTCCTGACTCACAAGGAGGCCTTTGAAGGTGTAGAGACACCATACCATGTTTTGGACTGGAAGTCCATGAAGCTCCCAAGGGTCGCCAGAAGTTCCCTGGCTGCTGAGGCCCAAGCCTCAGGTGCTGCTGCAGACAATGTCGAGTTCATTGTTCGTTTTTGGAATGAGCTGTTCAATCCTCAGCTTAGTTGAAATCCAACCTGGCCCTGACAGAGAGCTCACTTCAACCAGTGCTGATTACAGATGCTAAAGCTCTGTATGACACTTACCATAGAGATGCCTTCAACCACGGCTCCAACGACAAGCGCACAGCCCTGGAAGTGAAAGTGACCCGCCAACAAGTTGAGAGTTTTGGCGGAAGACTCAAATGGGTCAGCTCTGAACGCCAGTACGGCGACGGACTGACAAAGCTGTCAGCAAGGCAGCTCCTGGCCGACAGACTCAGACACGGATCCATCAAGTACACTTGGGATCCAACATACACAGCGGCAAAGAAGAAGCCGCTAGAAAGCCGATGGAACAGTCGAAACGAGTTCACAACCACAGGACAACATGACACAACCACCTACAACTCACAAACACAACACCAAGTTCCACTACAAGCCACAATGGACGAGCACACGTCCCTGGAGCAGGAGCCACCACTACTCGAGGTTCCCCAGTCTGCCAATCTCAAAGAGATTGAAGTAGCCGGATCCGCTGTAGGTAGCATGCCTCCCAGCCATGGACGTGCGCTTTTTGCGCTGCTGCTGATGTCGGCCCTCTCGCCGGCACGCGCCGCCAGTGGTGATGAGAAGCCACTAGGACCTGGATGGCTCTGGTGGTTGGTCATGGTTTTTGTTGCTGCAGCAAGCTGCCTTTTGGGCCACTGGCTCACGCGGAGGCGGAACACGCCCATCGAGGCAGTGAAACTCCGAGATGAAGCTCTGGATTCCATGATTCTCTACCGGCAACGTGCCATTGAGAATCAAAAGGCTGCGCGTGAACAACGCATAGCCAACGAGCTCGTCCTTCAAGAACTGGACCAGGCCCGCTCGGAACTACAAGAGTTGCAACAACGACACCACCAAAGAGGTCCTCCACTCACGCCCCAGGAGGAAGCAGATCGCCGCATAGCAGCTGAATCTCACTATCGTGAGACACTGTTGGACGCCAAGGGTCTTCTCCAGAGATGCTGGCGAGAAATGGTGGAACACGCACGGACCTGTCCAATGAGAGATGAAGTCTTCATGGCCTCACGAGGCCGTGTCTGGCACCACAACCCGGACTGCCCAGTGCTCCAACGACAAGCACTGAACGTCCGCCCAGTGAGCTACTGCACTACATGTGCTTCTCAAGCGGTACCACCGGATGTTCGCCATGCTCAAAGCCGACGAACCCTGAGTGAAGATCTGCACATGTTCTTCACGCACCATGGCATCATCCACTACGAGGATCGCACCAACAACCAGTACCACGTTTTCCAGTGGATGCACGGTTGGCCGGGTCCATGGCCGACAGAGATGCAGTCGGCAGGGCTGGTTCTGCCTGATGACAGCTGAGCTTTTCTCGTTTTTCCCTTCCTCAGAGTGTAAAGTACACTCCATGTACTTGAGGATCAGCTGTCAACCCATGTTTTCCGAATCCTTTCACCTGCAGAGGGCGGGTACTCGAGAGCTCAGCATCGGCCGCGAAAAAGGAGACTTCGTCCGCTCCTTTCGTTTCTGGGGAACTTCGTGTGTCCACAGAACCTGCTACCACCGCAGTTGCATTAGGGATCATGGTGTGATCACTCTTTTCAACCACCCAAGAGAGGTCAAGTGACCTTAACCCTTCTGGGGTACCCAACTGGGATAGTCTAGTTCGGGTCCTTCAACCTCGGTTGGACTGTACCTGTCCTGTGATGTTGAGGAACACAAACTAAGTGTGTTGATCTACACCATTGACACTGCCTCGAAACTTCCCGTCGATAGAGTGGATGACCTCGAAAGGATGAACCTGAGTTATCCAAATGCCAAACAGGTGGTGAACACCACTTCCATGATTATGTCAGGTAATATATATGTAAAGATAAATAGGTTTGCTTTGCCCTTCACTGATGATTGGTGCTTGGATGTGCTTGGTTTGCCCTGGGTGCTTCTAGAAATATGGCCCCCGAAAGGGAGTCTCAATGTATTCCAAGTGGCCGGATTCAAACTAGCACCAATCATATCCAAATTTATATAGATTTAAACAACTCTGTGAGCTCTTTCAAGACTCGGCGTCATATCCTTTGAACGGCAAGAAACATGTTGCCTTTCACTTCCCAACGTCAGTGAACAAAAACTGAACATCCAGTAATAGGCAACTCTGCACATGGCCTGGGCTGTGCCACTACCGGACTCGGAAAAACGGCGGAAACGCACGGGCAGTGCAGACAGACTTTGCTGCATCTCTCTTGGCCTTGTAGCCCTTGGACTTGGCGATGCTCTCCTACATCGTGCTCGGTCCCGTCAGAGGGGACATGGTGAAAACCCCACGGCACGAGCCGGTAGGATCCAGGATCCTCACACCAGGGTGTCCTGGCTGGACTACCTTACCAGACCCTCAGACTATCTTAGACCACTATCCTGAAACATCCTCAAGTTCCAGACATGCAGGACTCATGAACGCGGTTCAGTCCCTGACTCACCTTTTTTCGGGCGCTAGGACGACTGCTGTTGGCCCGCTTTGGGGCCAATGAGGTCTTGGCATTCTGCATACCTTAGCATGCGATGTCTCGCCAAAATGAGCTGAGAAAGACCACAGGCCGACGGAGAGATACGGGTGGACATGGCACCTGTGGGGACACACCGATTCCTGAGCCGACCGATGGAGCAACGCATCCAACAGCTGCAAGAGACCCAAAGCCCCTGGCACTCGACCGATTGTGGTGGCTGGAGTGGCTGGTTGTTGGGAAGAGATGCATCTGTCTTGCCCGCAAAAAGCTCGGCCAGTAACCAGAAAGCTGAAGTCGTGTTAACCAAAATTGTTTCAAGTCCTGTTCAAATTCGCTAGACCAGCCTCCTTGGGGCAAGCATTGTGATCCCAAGTGATTGTTCCCAAGACCTGCATGGGTGATTAAAATCCTGCTGCGTTGTTCTTGGCTCCCTTGCGATGTAGTTTCTTTTGTGAAGCAAAGGTGCCCAGCACTGGGTTCGCCAAGAGGCATCCTGAGAATCACCTGCTGGAAGATCTCCGATCCCTCCACGCCATTTGGAATGACATGCCCACTGCTGTGCTCAAACCTCCAGCAGGTGGAGAGAGACACAAGTCGACCCGTGGCTGGCTACACCCGTGGACCATGGTGGACCTATATATATATACCCAAACACTCAATGGGACTGGCATATTTACATACATGGAGGTGGTTTGGGGGGGTCAACGTAGGTATACATATGCCATACATGGTTAGTGCTCCAAAGAACATCGGAGCTGTCCAGAACAGAGGTGTTCCTTATGTGCAAATCATGGAACTGCCTCTGAGGAAGTCGATCATAAGGAAACCGCCTTCACCACCACTTTCCAGTCAGTACGAACCTTGGGTTCAATGTAACCCCCATGAATAGTTTAGTTTAGATCGATGTTGACCAGCAGGTTTCAAAATTCAAACATCCATGGCCAGAACGGGCATGATGTGGGGAACGGAACGATTCCAAAATGAATCTGAGCAGCATGCGCCAGTCTTTGTACATCTTTGGCAGCATCTTCTCCCCGTGTCGACCCCAGGGGTCTGCGTCCCCACCATGGATATACCTCGTGGCACCAACCCGCAAAGCGTCACCGCCGCAGTGCCACACTCGTCAATCGCGTGAGTGGGGGCTTCCTTTGAAAGAAACAAGTGCAGCTCCGATTCCACAACTAGCGACGGCAGAGGTGCATGAACCACCCGCCATTCCACCCGCCAGGATGACTCTCTCGTGACCAGTGGCAATACGCACTTGATGCTACACAGTTAAAGTCCCATGACCCATGACTGTCTATTACACGTGTTCTTTTCTTTTTCGGTGGTGTGGCTTGCTTCTGACTTGATTTGCAGTTTCACCAACCGCAGCCCATCATTGTCCCAGCAGTTAAAAAGTTGATGACAGGAAAGGTCAATGGTCACCTGTGGAATTATGTCTATCACTGATGGCTTCGCACATCTATTCCTGCGAATGAAACCAAGCTGAGGCTTCTGGCCCGGAAGGGGTCAAAGAATCCTTGAGTAGGTTACTGGGCAAGGAAAAGAGCTTGGACCTCATTGCACAAAACACTGCACATATCACTCCAACAACAAAGCTTCGTAAAACCCCATACAAACACCCATGAGGTGTCCACATAACACCACCGCCACATAACACAACCCCCCGAAGACCACTAAAAGAACTGTTTACCTGGTTTTGTAGTCGTAAACTCCTTAGTAAAACAAGGGTTGTTTGGTCTCTCTGTTGCGGGCGGTGTCACGCTTCTCACGGACCCTTCCACTATTGCAGCGGGGGTAAAGTCTATGATATAAATCAATGGTGCTTGGACTCCCAGGGTAGATGTACCGATCAGTTAGGGTGCCTGACCCGAGGTGACGCTTGATGCGGAAGTCGTCGTTGTGTCCCATGCCCCGTCGTGTCTGGGTCATCGTCATGTCCTTTGCATCGGAACAGGCGATGGGAGTGAAAGGGGATGAATTCGATTTCTTTAAACAATCATTAATAGTGTGGAGAATTGGACATGACATGACATGACATGACATGACATGACCATCCACCAGCCATGAGAACTCAGTGTGGAGTACTTTGAGGCTCCGGTTACATCGAAGTTGAGCCTCATAACCACGGAATTCAACAGCCACTAACTGACCAACCAACCAGCCCACCACCCGCCCGGCCCCCGTTATCAAAGGACATCTGTTCGCAGGGGCACACGGCCGGCAATGGCAATGGCTCTCTGAGCTGGTAGCGTGGATCATCGATCATGGCGCCGCAGAAAAAGACACCCAAGCGCCAAGGCACTGGCGTGGACACCTCTGCACCGCTGCATGCGTCGCATGCACCGCCGCCGTTTCGTCGCACTGCGACCCCCCACGAGACCCAGGAGAGAAAAACGGGCGAAACAAGGAGGCGTGTCTGGATCAGCGTTGTCTAAACCAGCGAGCTTGCTGAGCCACAATGTCGGTAAATATCCAAAAGAAACATCATGTCATAGCAGAGATGGTGATCTCTATAGAACCCAATGGCCGGTGCTGAGGATCCATCTATAGAACCAGCCAGAATACACTGACGACAGCCCCAGTTTTGAAACACTTCCCGGCTCTCCAACAGCACAACTTCAACCACCCCGGTGGGTTTGGATCATCACATCTCAGCTTCCGAAACAGTTCTTGAACTTGGAACTCCTTCTGCAACCACCAGCGGATTCCGTTTCCCCGCCGACTCATGTTGAGACCAAACCTTCGGTTTGTCACCGCCGCGGTGCGAGCCGGTCCTTTCGCATGACGTCCATGTACATGGCCAGCATCGTGCCAGATTGAGAGTAGCACAGCACGATGTCGGGATCCAGACCGGCGAGAGCCCTCGGAGAGAAGGTGGAGCTGAGGCGATTGGGAGAGGCTGGACACTGGGACGACTGGCAGAATAGGGGGTGGTCGACGCGGGGGTCAACAGTTAATATGCCCCATGGAGTGTCCGAGGTATGTAACTATAGTACAAGAACTGGTCCAGGCAAGGCCGAGACTATAGCCGGGTACATGACCCTTGAAGTGAGCATCTAGTTTTGCAAGATAGGTCCTTGATGGTCATGGATCCAGTTGTCTAGAGGCTGGAGCACCTGGATTGAAAAGTCCAGGAAAATACTCTGAATAAAATTAAGACCAAACCACACTAGACTGGACCAGCAGTTTTGTATGAGTGAGGACCCAAAACCGGGAAAATCTCCAAGGCACGTCTGGAGGAACTTGATGCCTTCCTGGCGAAAAGCATCTGAAAAGCGCTCGAACCTGCTCGAAACGACGAGAAACATCAGCAAACTAAAAATAAAAAGGCTGAACAACTCCGCCGGCCTGCCGGCGTGTTTTGTGGATTGTTTTGGTTAGTATTGCTTGTGCTGGTTTCAATCTACGGTTTGTCTCTCCGCGCGGATTTTTCGACAGCCTGACGCCTCCCCCCCCCCCCACTGTAGGTAGTGGTGATGGTAGTAGTAGTAGCAGTAGTAGCAGCAGTAGTAGTAGGTAGTAGGTAGTAGGT